TTAGCTCCTTGAGCAATATGAATTATTAAGATGTTTAAATGTTGTTCCATGCAGTACCAGTGTAAAATCTGTCCAACTATTAGCATAATTACATTAGGTTCTAGATCAAAAAACTTTCTGATAATAAGTCATTTACATTCATCACTGCCTTCCATTACTGCACAAACCAGACACCTAATTTTGTTTTAATGTCTCATTGTCATGTATAGGCAGGTGCCCTGTTAGAAAATTATTATATATGTATCAGGTCTATATATATACATTATACATTTGTAAATATATCAGGTCTATATATATATATACATCTGTACATATATACATTTGTACATATATCAGGTCTATATATATATATACATTTGTACATATATCGGTATATATATATATATATATATATATATATACATCTGTACATGTAGTTGTCCAGCACCCTGTAGGCATACCTGTATTTTAAAAGTTATCAATACAGATTAAGACTGTGACAAAAACTCAACCAGGAACTCTTAACAAAAGAATAATGTGAAAATCTTAATTAAATGTTTTTGGCCAGAAACATGAACATATTGATGTTAGATTTGATATCTATACATTCCTACCTATTCTCAGTTCTACCTTCACTTAATTCATTGAAAATACATTACTTCTGTGCTTAAGGCCATATTGATAAACAGTATTTATAACGTTGTTGAGGCGTTGAAAGGTCATTGATCAATGATGCAGATCTTTTTCTGACCGTTTTATTGTCCATTTCACTCCTTTGTTATCCTTCAGAGAGTACCAGTTTCAATCTGCTCTTCAGAAAGAATGTAATTTTATGACAGATTTAGCCAGGGAAGAGAAATTGCAGTCTAGCTAGACTGTCTAGTGGCCTAGTTTAGAAAGTGGCCATCTGTTTCGATCCCTCATTGGGATTCAGTCATGCTATATGATATACTTTAATGTTGAAAAAATCTTATCCAGCTGTATAAACCAGAAAATCCTTCAGTGTCTCGCAGAAAACTTGTCTGTGTTAAGAGAACTTGTGTAATCTGGATTCCTGTGTAAACCAGAAAATCCTTCAGGGTCTCACAGAAAACTTGTCTGTGTTAAGAGAACTTGTGTAATCTGGATTCCTGTGTAAACCAGAAAATCCTTCAGTGTCTCGCAGAAAACTTGTCTGTGTTAAGAGAACTTGTGTAATCTGGATTCCTGTGTAAACCAGAAAATCCTTCAGGGTCTCACAGAAAACTTGTCTGTGTTAAGAGAACTTGTGTAATCTGGATTCCTGTGTAAACCAGAAAATCCCACAGGGTCTAACAGAAAACCAGAAATTTCACTTTGGTCTAACCATATCACACCTGTGTTAGGTAAACTGGGTATGCCTCCAGGATGTAGCTACAGACAGAGAGTTGGTAGTACATGTTCTGTCAGTGATCTTGAACGTGGATGATGGTTATTCTTGTACGGGAATTTGTTATGGGCCATGTTATATAAGTAAAATATTGAACCTCTGTGTAAGGTAGATCTTTACAGATTAGCATAGGCCTTCAGGTAGGTACAAATCAAACAATCATCAGTTTAGATAGCCAGGTAGCTACTTAGTGTTAGTACAGTTGTATTACCCTTAGGCCTTTTCATGGTTACAGTAGACTCTCAGCCCCAAAGCTTTCTTAAGAAATTACTCAATGCATTTTATTTTCTGACATACCTTTCCTTTCTATGAAACTTCTATTCACTTTAACTAGAATCAGAACTAACTCAATGATCAGAACTTTCATACAAATCTTTTAGTAACTACATGTTCAAGAGACAAGGGGTTACAGCAATGGTATTGAAAATTTTAACTTTTTTTACCCTGGTGATCTTGTGTCAAATTAAATCTATATATAGTAAGCTAATCTTTATTACCCATGTGTCAATCACCTTCAGCAGACATCCTGTCCTTACACCAAACATATTACAACCAATGAATTATCAGAAGGCCTTTTCATAAAACAAATCTGTGTGACCTCTGAGTTAAGAAATGGTTCAATGTTGTTGATTTTCACAAACTTAATGAATGTAATACCACTTCATTTTAAAATGCTTTGACCAAATACAAATCAAACAAATTCAAACCTGTCAATAAAGGCCATTCTAGGAAACAGAAGAAAGTGCCCTATCTTAACAGATGGTCTTTATGCAGAGGTTCAATTCATAAAATTTGTATCACATTGGGGCCAGAAAAAACTGGCATTTTAAGACAGCGCTAACTTTATACACAAAAAGACCGTGATTCACACATACAAGTACAGACAGGTATTCTTTATTGAGAGGTATTTAAAGGAGGCCTTTAAGGCAAGGTTGAAGGTAAATCAAAGTTATTCCTTTAAACAAACTGGTAAACCTCCATCCAAAATACAAATATCAATTTTCAAATGCTTAAAAAATTCATAAAATGCTGGTTACCCTGTACATAGCTGATCGAGCTTTATAATAGGTTTTGTGTATTTTTTCTTACTGTATAACATTATGACATGATGTGCATATCAATACCAGAAATTTAACAGGAAACAAGATCAGATGTCAACATGTCAGTGCTCTTGATCTGCCAGATTTGGGGCCAAATATCGGAGCCATTCCCAATGCAAAATAGTATCTTTTTTTCCCAATTTAGACCCTAAGTTTTCCCAATTCTAAGGAAAACACCATTATTTTTCCCAATTCTAAGGGCCTCGGGCCCCAGTCCCAAAATAGGCTGTGAGAGCCCTGCATGTATAATATAGTCATATAATTTTTCTACATTTATAAATGCAAAAAGACCTAGAGTGCTCATTTCATTTCATGTAATAAGTAATTTTTTCAGTTTACTAACAAGTCACTCTTGCAATGCATTGTTAAATCTGACAATACACACTGAATATGGATAAAAATATTGCATATGTTGTCACGATTTTTGTTAAATTAAGCTTATTTTACTGCTGTCAAAATAGTTGATTATCAAGATTACAAAGATATAGGCATGTTTATGATTTATCAACCATGGAAATTATGTAAATGTTTAACGATACTTGTAACCATGACACCCTTTCTTTAAACACACCGGTAAATCCTTTGATTAAAAATGTTGTATGTAATTATTTAAATGTTTGAAGAAACTTGTAAGCATGACATCCTATCTTTATACACACTGGTAAATTCTGTGACTCAAAACGGCATCAAAGTAATTATTTCAATATAGGACAAAATCCCATGAAAAAGTTACAGCTATCGTAAACAATGTATGGGGTCAAGCAAATATGTTCAGGAACTTCAAAACACTGGAAAACAAGGTGATAGTGCTGTCAAAAATATCTGTAATGAAAAGCAAGACAGCATGCATGGACTAAAGACACTTAATTATCAATCTAACAGTTACCTACAGAATATTGTGATTTACAGGGATTACAGTGATGTACTCCCACATAGAAGATTTGTATTTGAGAGAGCAACAGTCTGGGACATCGAGCAATATACATGTACATAATAGTTACATGCATAAAAACACTGCTGGTGATTCTATATCGATGTACAAAAGTAAATATACATTGAAAATAATGATAAATTATTTCCAAGAGACATTAATAACTAATTTGTTGTTAATAACATTGCTAATTACCTTCAATAATACAACCAAATAACATTAATAAATCATCACTGATTTTTCACTCGTTTTTGCAAACTTCATTTTTTGCTTTTTTTTCTATCTCCATATATTACAACAACTGAGCAGGCAGGAACAGAACTTTCAATGAAATTGCTATGGCAACAAAACTTGTGCTGTTGAATTTGTTTGTCTTTTAAATAAGATAAATACCATCACATGCAAACTTGATATTGTTCACATTTTAAGTTCCAATCAAAATCCTGTTTGGTTGCTAGTGACTCTATCTTGGATGACCTGACATGACATATCCTGCATATCTGCCAACCCATACCGATAAATACAAAGAAAGTAGATGAGAAAAAAATTTTTTAAAAATCTTCAATTCTATTTTCAGCAACATTAAGTATTTATATCATGACCTTTCACTTAAAGATGTCCTAAGTGGGACTGCAATTCCAATTTTAGAACAAATCACATGACCTTGTACCAAAAGACCTGAAAATCAGTCTCATTTAAAACACTCCAAAGTGACACAAACACCAGTGTACCAAATATGGTCATGGTCACCCTTGTTACTCCAGGTTTTCAGTCACAGTCTATCTACACACCTGAAACATTTCATGGCAAAACTGAAGGTTCCATGTGCAGCACCTTGTGGATAAGACAAGTCAACTAGTTTGATCTTTTGATGTGAATCTCAAGGTCACATAACTGTATGTTTGACAGGCTTACATGCTTCACCTTGCTTGTGACTTCAGTTTTGCCATGAAATTTTCCAGGGATACAGAGCAAAGGTGAACCTAACTCCAGGAGGATGGGTAACGCTGGGTCATTAAAAACAACTGGTATTGATTGCCCTTCTTTTACTTTGCCCAGTTTGAAAGAAATGCCACATAGGTGTCTTTAAGACGTCAAAAAGAAAGGTAAAAGTTTAAACAGGTGCAAACTGATCACTACATGAAATGCATTTTTATATTCGTAACAGGTGTTCTGACAGTAGGGAGGTCAAACAGTGGTACCCGTTTGTGAACAGTAGTAGTCAAAATACAATTTCTTGAAATTGAATATGAAATCAAGTTAAATGTATATCAAATACTTTTTATAAATAATTTTGTGATTGTTTCACTTTATTTTAAGTTTTTAGCTACTGGTTTTACCAACATGAAACTGTTCTTTGACATTTTGTCCTGTTTACAGTGCTATAGAAGTAGTTATGCTCTACTGACATTTGTATGGAACATAATGAAAGCTATTAAATCTGTGTATGTGTGTCAAATCACATGAGGATTTAACAAACATAATTACAATAATGATTTTTAGAGATTATAAAAACACCATGATATTAACCGACATGTGACATTAAACAATTATATGACACTTATATCAATTCTGCACTTACCTCTGTTCTTTATGACATTAGCAGGAATATACAGCCAGTTGGGTCGATTTTTAAAGATGTCACCTTTCTCCACCAAAATTTCTCGCACATTCTGTAGACCAAATACAACGATCATGGACATCTCACCGAGTCGGAGGCGAAAAATATCACCATAGCGACTGCGTAGCCCTAGGATTTTAGAATAAAATCCATCACCTCCGGCAATACTAAAGAGGTTTCCAACTAGAGGCCATGCAAAGGGACCTGGAGGAAAGTTAGCGGGATCTCCACCCCACAAGAACTGGACAAACAAACTGACCGCCACTACCAGGAGAATTACAGACAGCCAGATCGCCATTGTGGGGGTTGACAGTTAAACACAAGCAGTCCTCGGATGACCCTGATATATAATGTCAGCATTTATCAGCTTTGTTCCATCAATCTGAGCTAGGCAGTCAGCTACAATACCGGACTCTAAATTGTGCCATAAACAAGAGGCAGACGCTAGAGATTGTGTTATTACGATATTGACAATTTTCGTAACGTAGCACGCGCTGCAGCAGCTTTGTACGTAATCCCGGATCCGCTGAGGATTTTTACATCCCTCTTCAACGATATCTGGCCGTGTTTAAATAAACATCGATCGTACAGATCGGTTCGAGCAGACTTAAAGATGACAGGAAGAGTATGTGATACACATGTACTTAAGATTGTGGACCAAATTGTCAGTCAGGCGGAAAAACACTCGCCTGGATCCGGCGAATCTATGCCTGTTGTCGCTGGACTCGTGACCACTCAGACGTGACGACCGAGTAATATATTATAAAATGATTGAATCACTTTCTGGAGAAGGTGTACAAGTTTAAAGGTGAAACTTTATTTCAATCCCAAATTATGGAATTCCATTAGATCTATTTGTAGGATGTGTTCTATCAGGGACGTCCCTGGTTCTATGTAATGAATTATATATCTGTCCTTTTTTGTCGGGTCATTCACTTCGATCTAAGTGTGTGGTCATGTATACCAAAACAAAATTTCCGAGAAACAGACATTAACGGATTAAGATTGTCGTTCTGCCACTAGGCAGTCCGATTTTGTTTATTCATTAAAGCTTGTCAACAAACCAACGTTTCTTACATGCTTCATTGGCCTTTCCAATCGAGAAACACTTTGTCTACAATTCGACCTTTCCTGTGAGAAGGCTTGGCGAATTATACGTACCCATATATGAATGTATCTTCAGGTAATGCTCCCGGACACATGTTTTCTAACAGCTCACGTGTTCGTAAAACTTCATTGTATGTTATAACATAAAACTGATCTGCCATTGTCCGAATGGTTTCAGCCATCTACCCGGAATTTTACTTTTTGTTAAAATAAAATCGCAGTTAGAAAAGTCAGAACGCCGCGGAGATTTAACGCGCACTCTAGGTATTTTTTGAACTGTTGAGACCAAGTGTAAACGTTGTCTAAGACCTGATTAGAATTCAAATTTATTTATAGTAATGCCAGCTTATATTACAGTTCCTTGTAGGTCCGGATACAAACATCCGGATTATTCTGGACTAATTACACGTGGTTAGGATTAGATTGCCGTAAAACGGTACCTAAATATATTGGTTTGACTAGCAGTTCCGGAACTGTAATACGGACATGTAATTTTTTTTATCAGATTCGTGACAATAACAACAAATCGTTGATGCTGGATTTCATACACACTAAATTAAAACATATGGTATACTGGTTACCATATAACAAGAGTAAAGTAACTTGTGTAATGTGTAGTTATCAGTATGTTTGGTACGGTTTACCGTCTTTTCACAATTTAAAGATGTCCCAGTATACATCATACAGAGTTATCTTCTCTTGTGAACATGTGTTGTTGGTGACGTCACTGGATTGCGTGAGGAAATTATTCTCACAAAAATCTATGATGTTACAAACAGATTACGTTACGGTTGGGCCAAGTACTGCTCCTACTTTCTATTAAGGTGTTTAGACCCATGTTGAAGTCAATAACAATTATATATATATATATCCGTAAATATATCAAATCTGCTTTGATATGGAAATAAATTGGATTTAACTTTTCTTTTAAAACATCTCTAATTTCTAATGGGCGATTTATTTTGGTTACTTATTTTTTTCTAATCGTATTTTTTTTCTCTCGTATGTGTTAAAGGTTTGGTTCATGTCCGTTTCAAACGATGCTGGAGCTGGTTTCCCTAGGGAAATACGATGGACGAATTAACAGTGATCCAGGTGGCTATTTGATCTATCACAATTAAGTCACGACCTCCTCACTTCGATAAGGAAATACGTGCTGTAGACGAGATCCTGTTCACACGGAAGTCTTAACAAAGTTCCACGTCGTATCAGGTTAAACAGCAGTTCAGTGGGTCAAATTAGAAACTAAGATTCAGGACCTTTAAAAACCTATTTATCACAGTTACTGAATTGTTGTGCTTTTACCTAATTCTCTTTCAACAAAGAACAAAAGGTACGAATTCAGTGTAGTGTATTTATATTTAAACGTTCTGGCGAACATGCCTTGAATTAATGGGCCTCATTCCAAGATTTTCTTTTTTCACAGCCGTTTTAGCTATAGCACACACGGTAAAAACAACACATTAGCCGTTGCCTCGCTTAAGCTTTTTTTTTTTTTTTTTGGAACAGTTCAAAGCTTAATTATATAGTGCAACGGGAAACATTTGATTAATCACCAGAATGTCCCGGAAACAGGCTAGGTCTGTGAAGTAAAACTAATATAATTTGGTGGATTGCTATGTTTAATATGTAAGCTTTAAATCCCCATCTATTCACATAACATTAGAATTTACATTTTTAATAATTCGTTTACGTTTAAATCTCTTAAAGTACCTACTTCCTATCATACACACAGTCTGCTACTTTCCAATTGAGCAAATGAAAATAACCACGCAGGAGTTACCTTCCCTTGTACCATGGGGACCTGGTTTGTGTAGACGATACATACGTCTATGGAATAGGCTACACCTGTAGATTTCATTTTAACATTCCAAAAACAGACACGCAATAAACATGTGACAGTATTCCTTCAAACCAGAAAAGGTCGATATTCATGTCCAATAAAGCATGATTCGATGTCTTCATTTTAATATGCCATGGGTATTTGTTATAATGAATGTCGGTATTTGATTTAGAAGTGTGTTTGATTGACTGGGTGAAACGTTGGAAGATTTTACACATGATTACTAATAGCTGGTGTCGGAGGAGTATGAAGTTGAGCGTAATCACATGGTGAAGTAGAGTGTAATCATAAGGTCAAGATCAGTGTAATCATAAGGTGTAATAGAGTGTCATCATCAGGTGAAGTAGAGTGTAATCATAAGGTGTAATAGAGTGTCATCATCAGGTGAAGTAGAGTGTAATCATAAGGTGAAGTGGAGTGTAATCATAAGGTGTAATAGAGTGTAATCACAAGGTGAAGTAGGGTGTAATCATAAGGTCAAGTTCAGTGTAATCATAAGGTGAAGTAGAGTGTAATCACAAGGTGAAGTGTAGTGTAATCATAAGGTGAGGTAGAGTGTAATCATCAGGTGTAATAGAGTGTCATCATCAGGTGAAGTAGAGTGTAATCATAAGGTGAAGTGGAGTGTAATCATAAGGTGTAATAGAGTGTCATCATCAGGTGAAGTAGAGTGTAATCATAAGGTGTAATAGAGTGTCATCATCAGGTGAAGTAGAGTGTAATCATAAGGTGTAAGTAGAGTGTAATCACAAGGTGAAGTAGGGTGTAATCATAAGGTGACGTAGAGTGTAATCATAAGGTGAAGTAGAGTGTAATCATAAGGTGAAGTGTAGTGTAATCATAAGGTGAGGTAGAGTGTAATCATCAGGTGTAATAGAGTGTCATCATCAGGTGAAGTAGAGTGTAATCATAAGGTGAAGTAGGGTGTAATCATAAGGTGACGTAGAGTGTAATCATAAGATGAAGTAGGGTGTAATCATAAGGTGAAGTGGAGTGTAATCATAAGGTGAAGTAGGGTGTAATCATAAGGTGAAGTGGAGTGTAATCACAAGGTGAAGTAGGGTGTAATCATAAGGTGAAGTGGAGTGTAATCATAAGGTGAAGTAGGGTGTAATCTCAAGGTGAAGTAGGGTGTAATCATAAGGTGAAGTAGGGTGTAATCATAAGATGAAGTGGAGTGTAATCATAGGGTGAAGTAGAGTGTAATCATCAGGTGAAGTAGGGTGTAATCATCAGGTAAAGTAGGGTGTAATTACCAGGTGACGTAGGGTGTAATCATCAGGTGAAGTAGAGTGTAATCATAAGGTGAAGTAGAGTGTAATCATAAGGTGAAGTAGAGTGTAATCATAAGGTGAAGTAGGATGTAATCATAAGGTGTAATAGAGTGTAATCACAAGGTGAAGTAGGGTGTAATCATCAGGTGAAGTAGAGTGTAATCATAAGGTGAAGTAGAGTGTAATCATAAGGTGAAGTAGAGTGTAATCATAAGGTGAAGTAGAGTGTAATCATAAGGTGTAATAGAGTGTAATCATAAGGTGAAGTAGAGTGTAATCATATGGTAAGTAGAATGTAATTATCAGGTGAAGTAAAGTGTAATCATCAGGTGAAGTAGAGTGTAATCATAAGGTGAAGTAGAGTGTAATCATAAGGTGAAGTAGAGTGTAATCATCAGGTGAAGTAGAGTGTAATCATCAGGTGAAGTAGAGTGTAATCATAAGGTGAAGTAGAGTGTAATCATCAGGTGAAGTAGGGTGTAATCATAAGGTGAAGTAGAGTGTAATCATCAGGTGAAGTAGAGTGTAATCATAAGGTGTAATAGAGTGTAATCATAAGGTGAAGTAGAGTGTAATCATCAGGTGAAGAAGGGTGTAATCAACAGGTAAAGTAGGGTGTAATCATCAGGTAAAGTAGAGTGTAATCATAAGGTGAAGTAGAGTGTAATCATCAGGTGATGTAGGGTGTAATCATAAGGTGAAGTAGGGTGTAATCATCAGGTGAAGTAGGGTGTAATCATCAGGTGAAGTAGGGTGTAATCATAAGGTGAAGTAGGGTGTAATCATAAGGTGAAGTAGAGTGTAATCATAAGGTGAAGTAGGGTGTAATCATCAGGTAAAGTAGAGTGTAATCATCAGGTGAAGTAGGGTGTAATCATCAGGTGAAGTAAAGTGTAATTACTAGGTGAAGTAGAGTGTAATCACAAGGTGAAGTAGGGTGTAATCATCAGGTGAAGTAGAGTGTAATCATCAGGTGAAGTAGAGTGTAATCACAAGGTGAAGTAGAGTTTAATTATAAGGTGAAGTAGGGTGTAATCATCAAGTGAAGTAGAGTGTAATCATCAGGTGAAGTAGTGTGTAATCACAAGGTGAAGTAGAGTGTAATCATCAGGTAAAGTAGAGTGTAATCATGAGGTGAAGTAGAGTGTAATCATCAGGTGAAGTAGAGTGTAATCATAAGGTGAAGTAGAGTGTAATCATAAGGTGAAGTAGAGTGTAATCATAAGGTGAAGTAGAGTGTAATCATAAGGTGAAGTAGAGTGTAATCACAAGGTGAAGTAGGGTGTAATCATCAGGTGAAGTAGAGTGTAATGATCAGGTGAAGCAGAGTGTAATCACAAGGTGAAGTAGAGTGTAATCATAAGGTGAAGTAGAGTGTAATCATAAGGTGTAATAGAGTGTAATCACAAGGTGAAGTAGAGTGTAATCATAAGGTGAAGTAGAGTGTAATCATAAGGTGTAATAGAGTGTAATCACAAGGTGAAGTAGGGTGTAATCATAGAGGTGTAATACAGTGTAATCATAAGGTGAAGTATATTGTAATCACAAGGTGAAGTAGAGTGTAATCATAAGGTGAAGTGTAGTGTAATCATAAGGTGAAGTAGAGTGTAATCATCAGGTGAAGTAAAGTGTAATCATCAGGTGAAGTAGGGTGTAATCATCAGGTGAAGTAGAGTGTAATTACTAGGTGAAGTAGAGTGTAATCATAAGGTGAAGTAGAGTGTAATTATTAGGTGAAGTAAAGTGTAATCATCAGGTGAAGTAGAGTGTAATCATCAGGTGAAGTAGAGTGTAATCATCAGGTAAAGTAGGGTGTAATGTAATCATAAGGTGAAGTAGAGTGTAATCATAAGGTGAAGTAGAGTGTAATTATCAGGTGAAGTAAAGTGTAATCATCAGGTGAAGTAGAGTGTAATCATCAGGTGAAGTAGAGTGTAATCATAAGGTGAAGTAGAGTGTAATCATAAGGTGAAGTAGAGTGTAATCATCAGGTGAAGTAGAGTGTAATCATCAGGTGTAATAGAGTGTAATCACAAGGTGAAGTAGAGTGTAATCATAAGGTGAAGTAGAGTGTAATCATAGAGGTGTAATAGAGTGTAATCATAAGGTGAAGTAGAGTGTAATCATAAGGTGAGGTAGAGTGTAATCATAAGGTGAAGTAGAGTGTAATCACAAGGTGAAGTTTAGACTGATTTTACCTGATATTACTTCCTTGTCTTTCAAATGAAAACCTTCGGGAAGGTAATACGTTTTTGTTCGTCTATAAAACCGACCACTGCCCACAGGTGACTTTAAGGCAATAAAATTTTATTGTTTTTGTTTTGTTTTATCTATTTTGTTTTATCTTTTATTTAGTCAAACTGAGAGAATTTAGTTTAAGCGGTATTTGATTTTAAATGTATATTGATGATTATCGTTCAGATTTCACTTCCTCGGTAACAGCTATCACCATGAAAACGTGTAAACAGAGTACGGAGGCCTTTACAGTGTCATCACACTGAAGTGGCATGACTTGGATAAAGAAGCAACATTTAGTATCAAGACACGTCTACCATGTTTCCGGTTTTTTGTTTTTTTTTTATTTCTCCCTGAAAACTTCCGTATTTAAAAACCGAAATATATATTTAATTTAGATTTACGTTTGAGGTACTCTGGCCGAAAGTGTAAATATTCTTTGTGTAGAAGATATACATTTTCAAAACAAACAATTAATCCTTGGTGTGAAATGGGGAGATTTTGACCTGAAGGGATGGGGTTAGCTCGAAAAGTGGGGACCAAAATAGTCACGGACTTGCTGGGGAAAATGTCGATTTTAGACGATTTTCAATAAAACTACAATATCAAAAGTTATGGATCGATGCCAAATATGCTTATTAAAGAAATACTAGCTGTTCACCTCGGGGTGCGAGAACTACGTGGTGCAGCTGCCAGGTACAGATCGGTGGTTTTGTCCGGGAACTCCGGCTTTCCTCCACCAACCAGGTACAGGTCGGTGGTTTGGTCCGGGAACTCCGGCTTTCTTCCACCAACCTGATACAGGTCGGTGGTTTTGTCCGGGAACTCCGGCTTTCCTCCACCAACCAGATACAGGTCGGTGGTTTGGTCCGGGAACTCCGGCTTTCTTCCACCAACCAGATACAGGTCGGTGGTTTTGTCCGGGAACTCCGGCTTTCCTCCACCAACCAGATACAGGTCGGTGGTTTGGTCCGGGAACTCCGGCTTTCCTCCACCAACCAGATACAGGTCGGTGGTTTTGTCCGGGAACTCCGCCTCCTCCAACCAAACTTTTGGTACGTCCTGAAATGACCATTGAAATGATAATAACTAATAAGATGTCGATTAAGTGAAATACTTTTCGAAGAGCAGTGATGTCATGTGATCCAATAGTTATGCTATTAGCGAGCAAAACTTTTATTTTCCCATACTTGGAAACTTGGATAAACGGGGATCGACTTTCTGTGACGTCACTCCTTCCGTAGTCCGGTCATCCGTTTCTCTTTATATAGAGACGCACTACCCATGTCAGGTTTTGGAGTTTAAATGACACATTGACGTTTTGAAACGTTTTTGTTAATCACAAGACTAAATCTAGGGATAAGGATGGGACTTTTTGTAAATGAAGTAAATTAAATAAGATCGGTAGGAAAACACGGTGGGTCGCTCAGCAAGGAGAAACGGTGGTCGCTCAGGGGGGTATAAACACGGATATCGGTATTAGTGACTTCGTGCCATTTACGGTCATAATTATCAACGATTATGCAAAACGTAAACATTTATAATAAAAAAAAAGAAACAGACACATTTTTCTTTTGTTTTATAAACGTGTTTATAATAGATAGAACTTGTGAAACGGATTGAAGTACTGGTGACAAAAACTTTGAAAAAAGTCGGTCTGAGATTAGTCCATGTTTGTGCTTTTTGAAGCGAAAATAAGATGTTGTAAAATCGAGAGGTTTAAATAAGTGATAAGTCATGATTATATTACAATATTTTCGGACAGACGCATCAACGGGTAGAAATGTCTGTTTTACTCTCGAGTCGCACGAGATTGTATGTAATGGAGAGGTCCGAGTCCTTGAGAGTGAATGTAGTCAACCCGAATCCCCTGAACTGTCCTTAACTACATGTACAATGTCGTTTCACAACACTACCAGCAGTATAATCAATCTTAATTTCAAAACAAATTTTAAAAAATGGATCAATATCACATAAAACTTTGAAAATAAAGGGAAAAAGCATGGGTTTGAAAACAACTTTGAAAATAAAATTGACTCATATTTGATAGCGCTGAAATCGCCAAAACATACATTTCTATAATATTTATGTGATGTGTATATATCAATAATGTTTTATAAGGGAATTAATTGGATACAATGTTTAATTCCTTCAAATCGTCAAAATCTGGATCAGTAGTTCATAAGTATATATCTGTATTTTACCGTGGTGGTAAAAGCAATATGGTGATGTGTGTTTTATGTGTTTATTGTGGTGTAAGTATGTTTACAAATAATAAAAATTCAATTAGTCGAGTGCCATCCAAAATATCTGAAGGGATAGACTTAACATTAAACATCACACATTTTAATTAACGTAAGAGACAAAACGTGTCGCCGAAGAACTCCCATTTCGTTGATTTCTACAGAACAAGAAAATGGATGAACTACGGCACGCTGTAGTCCTGAATTGATAACCCCCCCCCCCCCCCCCCCCCCCCCCAACACACACACACACACACCCACACACACACACACACACACACACACACCGATATTTTCATATCGCGTCAGGATGACTTCACCCCAACCCATCACCATGTCATGTCTGGCATGCTAGTAATACTAATAGTTATCAGAAGAGTTGTAACCTGATGATAGCAAATAAATAAAAATAAGAAATCCTTTATGTTGTCGGAATTTAAACCGCATCGTTGGTTTCAGTAGTCCTGAATTATGTTTTGATACGTACTTCCGGTTATTAACACGTGTGTCTTATCGGATTTAGGACTGCACATAGTGTGAGGGTATGTATGTAGGAACAAAAACCTACGACTCATGGGTACATTCAGCTGAAAATAATTTATTCACTATATTGTAAAGAAACAAGAATGTCCTTCATAGCATGAAATATATTTATGTTGACAAATGAAGCGTCACCTGTTTTGACGGACCAAGTATACATAGTGTTAACAAAGACTCTCTGTATTACACTTTTTCCTTTCGCTTCATACTTTTCCCACACTACTCATAGAAAGGCTGTAATTTTGGACATAAAACCCGTTAAGAAATATATTGCGACTCCTCGTCACATTGCTTTTACTATATCTGTGAAATGTCATGCTCACATCTGTATTCTTATTCGGGGGCGAATATTTGCCAATCTTCAGCTGATCACTTTTTTACAAATATTGTTATATGTAACCTTAGAGTTTATACACATGACCAGGATAAGATAAATCGCTGTCTTGCGCACAACAAAATTTCTGAGGGATGAACTTCTTAAAGCAGACTCTACATCCTCTCAGTATTCAGATCTATATCTGTAATTTTTGGACCTGGTAAAGGTGACTTTCCTTAATGTCATATTTCACAAATTACATGAGCACAGCTCTCTACATGTGAGTGCTTGAATTGGATATGATATATGAAATTTCTACATGTCTTAGCAATATATACATGTACTGTTACATTTGAAAATCCTGTGGTTCATCAAATTGGAAACAGAAATCCTATTCAGTTTCCCCTTGGTCCCTAGTTGTGCATGGTACCTTTTTTGGACTGATTTGAATTCAAGATGGCCGACAGACGGCCATCTTGGAGTTTGAAAGTAAAAGTTTGTTACCGCTATTTCTGGGAAAGTGCTGGATGGATCTTTCTCAAATTGCATATGCAGGTTCCCCTTGGTCCTTAGTTGTGCATTGTACCTTTTTGGACTGATCCGAATTCAAGATGGCCACTTGTCAGCCTTCTTTTATTTTGAAAGTAAAAGTTTGTTACAGCTATTTCTGAGAAAGTACTGGATAGATCTTTGTCAAATTTCTTATGCAGTTTCCCCTTGGTCCCTAGTTGTGCATTTTACCCTTTTTGGACTGATTTGAATTCAAGATGGCCGACAGGCATCCGTCTTGGATTTTGGAAGTAAAAGTTTGTTACCGCTATTTCTGGGAAAGTACTGGATAGATCTTTGTCAAATTTCATAGGGAGCTTCCCCTGGTCCCTAGTTGTGCAGTGTACCTTTTTTGGACTGATTCGAATTCAAGATGGCCGACAGGCGACCGTCTTGGATTTTGGAAGTAAAAGTTTGTTACCGCTATTTCTTGGAAAGTACTGGATGGATCTTCTCAAATTTCATATGCAGTTTTTTCCCCTTAGTCCCTAGTTGTGCATGGTACCTTTTTTGGACTGATTTGAAATTAAGGTGGCCCACAGGCAGCCATCTTGGATGTCAACAGTAATACAGCACAAGCATACTTTCTTTGATATTCTATCATATTGATTCAAGACCATGTCCATTATCCACCTGTAACTGACTGCTATCTAATAATACTTTGGGATCTTTTTCAAATGATATTTGCTAATAGTCGCTTAATAAAAATATCTTGTGCAACCATTGATTAAATTCAATGAAGACCAGTTCATGAGCATCTACAACACCTGTAACAAAAAAAAAAACAAAGCAAATCTTCAAGAACTGAAAACAGATCCTGAAATGGTGGGCACCAAGATCCCACTGGGATCTCTTGTTTTTTCATGGAAATTGTTTTATTTCCAGTCTAAAGTTGGTATACAGTAACAAAAGAGAAAAGAAAAAGAAACATAGCTTCACAGCGGTCTCTGGCAAATGACAATATCAAGACAAGTCTCTTTTTAAAAGCTGTTCTCTTTTTAGACATGGCTTTTATCAGAATCTATTAGTAGTCAGAGTGTGTCTTGTTTCCATTTTTATTGTACATAAATGATTGCCTATGGGGTTTCAGTCTCTGTTATTTCATTTACAGATCAAATGAATCTGTAAGCACACAGCAGAAGGATGGATACCTCCGACATGAATGAACCTTTTGAGGGAGCTACCGGGGGTAAGGCCAGCAACTCTGACTACTTTACAAGTTATGGTGACCTGAGTGTACATGAACTGATGCTTAAGGACAAGCCTCGTACATTGGCATATAAAGGCTTCATTGAAAAAAACTCCCATCTGTTTAGAGACAAAACTGTGTTGGATATTGGTGCGGGCACCGGCATTCTCTCTCTCTTTGCAGCCTCAGCAGGTGCTAGGATAGTTTATGCAGTGGAGGCAAGCGAAATGGCTAGCGCCTGTCAGAAAATTGTGGAAAAAAATAACTTAACAGAGAGAGTGGTGGTCATTCATGGGCGAGTGGAAAATGTGGACCTACCTGTCGATAAAGTAGATGTAATTATCTCTGAGTGGATGGGATTTTATCTTTTTCATGAGTCCATGTTGGACTCGGTGATTGTGGCAAGAGATCGATGGCTTGCACCTGGCGGCCTAATGTTGCCATCAGTGGCCACTTTGTATTTAATGCCTGTTGCTATGGATGACTATGTCTGGGATCATTTCCAGTTCTGGGATAATGTTTACGGATATGACTTATCTGCACTGAAGTCCACAGCTATGACAAATGCTATTCAACAACCTGTAATCACAATGGTGTCTACAGATGAACAGCTTGCTGAGCCACAAACAGTGGTAGATCTGAATTTATATGAATCTTCACAGGATGATATTGAACAGATATATGCCAAACTCAGCTTTGTAATTTTAATGAATGGCACTGTGCATGGATTTGCTGCCTGGTTTGATGTGGATTTCCAAGGTCCTTTGGGAACATCTCCAAAGGACAGTTGTACATCTGTAACACTTTCCACGGCTCCTGGCTCAGCTCCAACTCATTGGAAACAAACCGTGTTCTTTTTGCCATCTTCATTTTCAGTACAAGAAGGGGAGATAATCTCATGTAAATTAGAGCTAGGCCAGGACCAGACAAACAAGAGACATTACAATATCTCCTTGGAGATGATTGACAAGGATGAGGGTAGCGAGGATGACTTTGACACAGGGGATGAGGAAGAAGGTTCAGAACACCCTATACCTTGTACATGTGGTGCCTCACGTTGCCAGCTCATCACTGCCATTATGGACAAATATGAGTGTGAGCATGCCCAACTGGAACAGGAAGCAGAACTTGTGGGTGTGTCCGCAGAGAGGGAGGCTGCTAAAGAAATGATGAGAGACGAGTTTAGTGTGAGTGATTCATGAAAGGAATGTAAGGTTCATGAAAGAACCAAGAAAATTTTGGAAACAACTTTGAGAGTGTCATCTTCAGCTTCTTTTTCTTCCTGTATCTTCTCTGATCTTTGAAATTCATGACTCAGCTCCTAAACATTGTACAACAGTTGCAATTCAACATTCAGTCTCATTACATTTTATCTAGGCTTCTGCAAAATGTTGTGAATATTTTGCTTGATTTTCGAAAATGAAGGTAAAAAGTATATAGCTCACTAGGTCTAAAGGATCTCAGTCCCCTAGGAAGGAAGGGCGGGCCCTGGGGCAAGGTTGCAAGTGCCCAATAGTGGAAATATAGAAAATTCTTTATAATCCTACCACCGTAGGAATGAACAGATATTGCCCAAATTTGGTCTGAAGCATTCTTTGGTGAAGGAGAATCAGTTTTGTATAAAAGACAGATCCTGCCCCCTGGGTTCGGAAGGGGTGGGGCCCAATTGGGGAAATGTAAGTTCTTACAAGGATATTGTCCAAGTTTGGTCTGGCACAGCTTTCAAGAACAGTGAATCAGACTTCTGTTTGACCACCAGGACGGAACCCAATAGGCAAATTATTTCTGAAATTATGCATCAGATTTGAAATTCTTTGTTAAATGACTGAATAGCTGTATTAGCCAGGTAAGCAATGCAGGCTTCTTGGGACTCTTGTTTACTGTTTAAATAGCAATGAATGTCTAGATAACTAATAATGGTTACTAAAGAGATCATTCTGTTTAACATCATGAATTTTTTTTTTAGTTACATTTCTTTCGTTTCATTGGTACACTTAATCAACAAATTCACATTGAGCGATATTGATATCCAGGAAATAGAATTTTCATGAAAAATCGCTGAAGTTTAGAGAATGTCTGACTTTACAGTAGGTTATCAATCAATTAACAGGAATTGATTTTGTATATACTACAAAGAAAAATATATATACATATTATTGTATGTATGTTTGTGTACATCTTCATTATTCAATTGTACATACTTGAAGAGATAAATTCTTTTATTAGTGTTAATTTTTTCTGTATTGTATGTGTTCAAATAAATTAAAATTTGTTGAATATATTAGTTAATGTTTTATATACCATGGTACTTTCTATTGGTAGGATAGTAGTGGGTGCCAATATTGTATAAATTCAGTAAACTTTTATTATCTTACAACATTTACAATGTAAATATCAATAACTCTGGGAGGATGGAAGCACCTGAGGGGTTCTAGAGTTAAGTCACTGTGATCAACCAAGCCCTTAGCTAACCTACAAAAAACCCTCCATAAAAACCTACATAAACCTATTAACCCTAAAATAACCTACACTACAGTAGTACTTATTGGAACTACCATACTACCTTCCAAAACCAACCTCAACCTACAAAAACAAACCCACTACCTTCCAAAACCAACCTCAACCTACAATACAAACCCACTACCTTCCAAAACCAACCCTAATCTACAAAAACAAGCCCACTACCTTCCAAAACCAACCCTAATCTACAAAAACAAACCCACTGCCTTCCAAAACCAACCTCAACCTACAAAAACAAGCCCACTACCTTCCTAAACCAACCTCAACCTACAAAAACAAGCCCACTACCTTCCAAAACCAACCACAAACAACAAAAACAAGCCCACTACCTTCCAAAACCAACCTCAACCTACAAAAACAAGCCCACTACCTTCCTAAACCAACCTCATCCTACAAAAACAAACCCAGTGCCTTCCAAAACCAACCTCAACCTACAAAAACAAGCCCACTACCTTCCTAAACCAACCTCATCCTACAATACAAACCCACTACCTTCCAAAACCAACCTCAACCTACAAAAACAAGCCCACTACCTCCCAAAACCAACCTCAACCTACAAAAACAAGCCCACTACCTTCCAAAACCAACCTCAACCTACAAAAACAAGCCCACTACCTTCCAAAACCAACCCTAATCTACAAAAACAAGCCCACTACCTTCCAAAACCAACCTCAACCTACAAAAACAAACCCAGTGCCTTCCAAAACCAACCTCAACCTACAATACAAACCCACTGCCTTCCAAAACCAACCTCAACCTACAAAAACAAGCCCACTACCTTCCAAAACCAACCTCAACCTACAAAAACAAACCCACTGCCTTCCAAAACTGCCTTCCAAAACCAACCTCAACCTACAAAAACAAGCCCACTACCTTCCAAAACCAACCTCAACCTACAAAAACAAACCCACTGCCTTCCAAAACCAACCTCAACCTACAAAAACAAACCCAGTGCCTTCCAAAACCAACCCTAATCTACAAAAACAAGCCCACTACCTTCCAAAACCAACCTCAACCTACAAAACCAAACCCACTACCTTCCAAAACCAACCTCAACCTACAAAAACAAGCCCACTACCTTCCAAAACCAACCTCAACCTACAAAAACAAGCCCACTACCTTCCAAAACCAACCTCAACCTACAAAAACAAACCCACTGCCTTCCAAAACCAACCTCAACCTACAAAAACAAACCCAGTGCCTTCCAAAACCAACCTCAACCTACAAAAACAAGCCCACTACCTTCCAAAACCAACCTCAACCTACAAAAACAAGCCCACTGCCTTCCAAAACCAACCACAAACAACAAAAACAAGCCCACTACCTTCCAAAACCAACCACAAACAACAAAAACAAGCCCACTACCTTCCAAAACCAACCTCAACCTACAAAAACAAACCCAGTGCCTTCCAAAACCAACCTCAACCTACAAAAACAAGCCCACTACCTTCCAAAACCAACCTCAACCTACAAAAACAAGCCCACTACCTTCCAAAACCAACCTCAACCTACAAAAACAAGCCCACTACCTTCCAAAACCAACCTCAACCTACAAAAACAAGCCCACTACCTTCCAAAACCAACCTCAACCTACAAAAACAAACCCACTACCTTCCAAAACCAACCTCAACCTACAAAAACAAACCCACTGCCTTCCAAAACCAACCTCAACCTACAAAAACAAGCCCACTACCTTCCAAAACCAACCTCAACCTACAAAAACAAACCCACTGCCTTCCAAAACCAACCTCAACCTACAAAAACAAGCCCACTACCTTCCAAAATCAACCTCAACCTACAAAAACAAGCTCACTACCTTCCAAAACCAACCTCAACCTACAAAAACAAACCCACTGCCTTCCAAAACCAACCTCAACCTACAAAAACAAACCCAGTGCCTTCCAAAACCACCAACAACAAAAACAAGCCCACTACCTTCCAAAACCAACCCCAACCTAAAACAACAAACCCACTACCTTCCAAAACCAACCTCAACCTACAAAAACAAGCCCACTACCTTCCAAAACCAACCTCAACCTACAAAAACAAGCCCACTACCTTCCAAAACCAACCTCAACCTACAAAAACAAACCCACTGCCTTCCAAAACCAACCTCAACCTACAAAAACAAGCCCACTACCTTCCAAAACCAACCTCAACCTACAAAAACAAGCCCACTACCTTCCAAAACCAACCTCAACCTACAAAAACAAGCCCACTACCTTCCAAAACCAACCTCAACCTACAAAAACAAGCCCACTGCCTTCCAAAACCAACCACAAACAACAAAAACAAGCCCACTACCTTCCAAAACCAACCTCAACCTACAAAACCAAGCCCACTACCTTCCAAAACCAACCTCAACCTACAAAAACAAGCCCACTGCCTTCCAAAACCAACCACAAACAACAAAAACAAGCCCACTACCTTCCAAAACCAACCACAAACAACAAAAACAAGCCCACTACCTTCCAAAACCAACCTCAACCTACAAAAACAAGCCCACTACCTTCCAAAACCAACCTCAACCTACAAAAACAAACCCACTGCCTTCCAAAACCAACCTCAACCTACAAAAACAAGCCCACTACCTTCCTAAACAAACCACCAACAACAAAAACAAGCCCACTACCTTCCTAAACAAACCACCAACAACAAAAACAAGCCCACTACCTTCCAAAACCAACCACAACCTACAAAAACAAGCCCACTACCTTCCAAAACCAACCTCAACCTACAAAAACAAACCCAGTGCCTTCCAAAACCAACCTCAACCTACAATACAAACCCACTGCCTTCCAAAACCAACCTCAACCTACAAAAACAAGCCCACTACCTTCCAAAACCAACCTCAACCTACAAAAACAAACCCACTGCCTTCCAAAACCAACCTCAACCTACAAAAACAAGCCCACTACCTTCCAATACCAACCTCAACCTACAAAAACAAGCCCACTACCTTCCAAAACCAACCTCAACCTACAAAAACAAGCCCACTACCTTCCAAAACCAACCTCAACCTACAAAAACAAGCCCACTACCTTCCAAAACCAACCTCAACCTACAAAAACAAGCCCACTACCTTCCAAAACCAACCTCAACCTACAAAAACAAGCCCACTACCTTCCTAAACAAACCACCAACAACAAAAACAAGCCCACTACCTTCCAAAACCAACCTCAACCTACAAAAACAAACCCAAAAACACCTCAACCTACAAACAAACCCACTGCCTTCCAAAACCAACCTCAACCTACAAAAACAAGCCCACTACCTTCCAAAACCAACCTCAACCTACAAAAACAAACCCACTGCCTTCCAAAACCAACCTCAACCTACAAAAACAAGCCCACTACCTTCCAATACCAACCTCAACCTACAAAAACAAGCCCACTACCTTCCAAAACCAACCTCAACCTACAAAAACAAGCCCACTTCCTTCCAAAACCAACCTCAACCTACAAAAACAAGCCCACTACCTTCCAAAACCAACCTCATCCTACAAAACCAAACCCACTACCTTCCAAAACCAACCTCAACCTACAAAAACAAGCCCACTACCTTCCAAAACCAACCCCAACCTACAAAAACAAGCTCACTACCTTCCAAAACCAACCTCAACTTACTAAAATTAACCAGCCTACCAAAACTATCCTACTCCCTGTTAAACCTACCTACTACCTACTGTAACCTACCTACTACCTACTGTAATCAAGCTGTTACCTACTGTAACCTACCTACTACCTACTGTAACCTACCTACTACCTATTGTAACCTATCTACTACCTGCTGTAACTACCTACTGTAACCTACCTACTATCTACTGTAATCAACCTGTTACCTACTGTAACCTACCTACTACCTACTATAATCTACTTACTTCCTACAGTAACCTACCTACTTCCTATTATAAACTACCTACTACCTACTGTAACCTACCTACTTCCTACTGTAACCTACCTACTTCCTACTGAAACCTACCTACTACCTACTGAAACCTACCTACTACATACTGTAACCTACCTACTTCCTACTGAAACCTACCTACTCCCTATTATAAACTACCTTCTACCTACTGTAACCTACCTACTTCCTACTGTAACCTACCTACTTCCTACTGAAACCTACCTACTTCCTATTATAAACTACCTACTGTAACCTACCTACTACCTACTGTAACCTACCTACTACCTACTGTAGCCTACATACTACCTTCTGTAACCTACCTACTACCTACTGTAACCTACCTACTGTAACCTACCTACTACCTACTGTAACAATTTTCTACTATATCAACCTACCATCAAATGTGGATTTTTTCTGATGTTAGTGAATAGACAATGTTGAGAATCTATTCATTCAATACTATGGTATTAATATGGATATGTATTGTATGTTGTGACCTCAACTATATTCTTTATCA